ATTGGCTCGACATTCTTCGGAGATAATTCCTCCTTTTTTCATATATTCAATGACTCATAAAACTCCAACGGCTCAATATTTTGAGATAAATATTTTATGATAAGTAGTGCTCATCGAGATATATCTCTAGAGAAAATTCCAGCTCAATCTGTTTAGCCATTCTCGAGATATTGTCCCATCAGGACTTCCCTTAGTAAAAATCGTCATTTCGTAAAATACTTATAAAAAATCGAGGATTCAATATTTTTTAAATCGGATTGCACTAGAATTCATCAAATTCTTCCCTTTACAACATATCTTAATTTGAGTAAAATTTGAGAACCTCGATTGAGCAGGTTCGGACATAGCTTACATAGAATGGCTCTTATACACATAAAAATTCAAATTAGAAGACAGCCGGAGATTGAAAGGAAATAAATATTAAACCACCAATTCATGATAAGATCAAAAACAAGGAATGAAAACATCTGGTTAGATGCATAGATAATATTCAAGAATCCTAAAGAATGAAAATTTCCGTTTTGTATTGCAACGGATAATTGAGAAATAAGGGTATTATTCATAAAAACGCGGTCATATGTTTACCAAGAAAGAACAAAAACAGTCTAACAAGCATGTAGCGAATCATGAACAGCTTTAATTTGACAGGAAATGAAAAAATGACGAAGTTGCGATGCGGTCAAGAAAAAGGTATATTATCGTCCATTACCACTATAGTCAAGGAAAGGAACGACAGAAGAAAGCGAAAAAAAAACAATCGAGTGTAAGGAATGGACAATTACATTTTTTTCAGTCAGCTATTTTCATTATTATCAAGAAAATGCATTCGACATACATTTAGACAGCAATCATCGATTCACAAATTCAAATGTTATGTAGAATGATCACTCTTCCTAAAAATATTATCTAAAATACAATGGCGACAAAATCTATTGAATGTTTGCCCAATGAACTTTGGTTATTATTTATGAGTTTCCTTTCACCAATCGATCTTTATCGACCACTAGTTGGTCTCAATCATCGTATTGATTGTTTACTTTTTGCCATGACTCCACGCCCAATTCTCGATACATCTCAATGTGGTGATAGTAGTATTCATCTGTCTGATATGCGTCAATTACTTGAAGGGAAAGATAATTGGTCAAAATGTCTTGTTTCATCGATCGAAACTATTCGTCTTAGTGGTACACTTGCTAGCGATGTACTTTCCGACCATTATCAATCTCCTATACACCTTTCGTCCATCAATACTTCTTTCTCAATTTTATTTCCTTCACTCCGTCGATTATATGTGACAGAAGAGGCTATAAATCGAATTGATATATTAAAACTTTTTCTTCCACTGCCAAAGGCACTTCGTTACGTTAATTTTACATTTAAAACGCCTTCAGCATATTCATCGTACTGCGAAACGCTCTATAAATTCATTGTCCATGGACTTTCATTTTATAGTATGGTATTCGACGTCAAAAATGGTAAATTTCTTAAATAATTTTCTAAGTGTTCTCTATTTCTTTCTTATATCTGAGACAAAATATATTAAGTGGAGAATGAACTGTACAACATAGCTAATGTATTTCTGCCCTTTTCTGAATGGTAGAATTTTGATTCAACTATTTATAATCTGAGCATTTTATAGTAGACAATTTAAAGAATACTACTTATTTATATATCTGAGTCTCTTCTGTTTACCCAAGACTTTCCATATGGATTTTATATTAAGTATGATAATACTTTCGAACTTGTTATTTCGAAGGAGATAAATCAGACGTCACTATATCGCTTCAACATTCATAGATAATATAGAAGCCAGAAGTTGATGGAAAACACTTAGACACAGCTATGTCATATTCTCTACAAGTGATTTTATTATCAAAGCGAGCAATAGTACGAGATTAGTATGCTAAAATATGGGAGAATATCGAAAAAGTAGAGAGAATAGGAGAAATTGTTCAACTGTTTTTAATTAAAATTGAATAATTGTGTCAGAATAGAATAAGTGAACCAACCATTATAACGTAGAAATATCTGTCAATTTAAAATTACTGCGAAGCCTCAAAATTTATAGGAAATCAATTTTTCAAGGAATATGACACTTATAAATCTATGAATGAGTGTAATCTTCAGAGCAAGATTGCGCTCAACGTATTTCTTCTGTTTGATAAAGTTAGTACATTAAGTAATATCGATTGATACTTACCCAATTCATACATTATTTTTGTCACTTGAACGTACAAAATAGTAATAGAAGTTATCTAGATGGTTTGATATATTATGGACAAGATTTTAACTAATTGCTAAATATTTTATTTTTTTACATATTTTGAACTTTTACCAACCATTCTAATAAGTCCAAATTTAGTGAATAACAAGTGATCTTACATTTATATTCAAAATTCGAGATTATTTTGTTGATGAGAAGAAAAACTTGATTATGTGAAAATGACTTGAAAATGAGTATCGAAATAATGCTCCTCGTTTGTTATTTGATAATATAGGCTTATTTGTCAAGATGTTTGATTTTTCTTTTAGACTGCAATAATGATCTAGAGGATTCAAATATATATGAATGGAAAACAGTGTACTGGCCGAATACTGTTCATCTGTCACTTTTCATCGAAAATTTCAGTGATCTAGCCGTGCTTCTGGATACTCATGCATTGCCTGTTCTTGATCATCTCTGTGTCACTGTTATCAGACACAACAAACATTATCTGGGACAAGACTTTCAAGTGAATAATGCTGTGTGCATTACAAGTCGTCTTCGTTCTCTCAAACTAAGTAACATATCGTTTGACAAGCTTCTCATATTTTTGTCATCAGTGCACATGCCTTTACTCGAAAAGTTGATATTGATTGAAATTCATGATAATAGTAAGTCTAATAACTCAATTTCATCTATATAATTTAATTTCAATTAAAGAAACTATTATCCTTTATTATAAATACTATTTTGTTGATTTTTAACATCTCTTTTCAATAATTGTTTTTCATTTCTAAATTTGTTTATATTTAACCTTCTGTAGAGAAGCACAAGTTTAACTTCATCATTATTGAAATTAATAGTTTCCTCAGTTCAAATTTTTTTCCAAGTTTTTTATTATTTTGTCTTATTCAGGATGTCATTACTGCTTTGTGTTATAGTAACAGAGACTTGAATGTTACAAGACCGATAGAAAATTTCAACTAGAAATATTACATAATCAAACTCTTCAGAAAGAACAAATTTTCATGGTTTCAAAAGCGAAATGCAATTATTTACCGTGGAGGTTAGACAATGTAAAGATATTTGTGTACATTAGGTTTATTGTTATATATTTCTCAAACAAAAATTGGACATGTATAAGTATATCTGAATTGTAAAAAGTGAAAAATAGCGTCAGAGAAATAGGTTGTCACTCTAACAAAGAAAATATGTGTCATCATGACCTATGATGCAAGTCTTTGGTTGAAGTTTTCAACTAGAAAGTGAGAAGATCCTTTATTGTATTTGATGTGTTCGTCTTAACTAAATCATATGATATTTGATTTAATACTTAATCACAATCTATTTGAAAGAATTTTCTGGACGACAGAATGCATTTCAGAATTGAAACTACTCATGTTAACACAGATCGTACTTGAATTGTTTTATTTTCTTTCAATATAGCACTCAATCGTCTTATTGATTTTCAAAAATACTTCCAGTCAAAGAACAATATGCCCGCTCTTCATCCATCGTCTCTTCAATTTCTACTTCGCTTTCCTGGTGAATTGGAGTATCAATGGAAAAGCAATCGTAACTTTGAATGGCCATTCGGATCTACCAATATTGATTACTGTCTTGAAGAGCATCGTTTATCATTTTTTGATTACAGGCGTTCAAAACTACTGCCACCGAAAAAGAAGTACTCTCTTCTTATTTTCACTTATTCAGCTCTACCATACCATCGTACAGTACACAATCATTCCTTTACCATTAAACTCAATCAAGAATCAACAACGTCATCCATCAAATGGACGTGTGATCACATTACCAATTCAGCACAATTGCTCGAGACTTTATCAAAGTTTGAAAACACAAAGGAACTGGAAATTAGCAATTGGGGAGGAACCGAACTGCAAAATGTATGTTAAAGTAGTAAATCCAACAAGATAAAGAGATCGGTTCTTTAAGATGTGATTTCAATGCAGAGAAAAAGCAACAATTTAGCTGCTCGTGCTTCAATTCTCTATACACTGTTTTGAGTACTTGAAGTGGCGTTTCGTCCTTGATTTTTTTGTTCTTTAATTAGCGATAAATCTCAGAGAATGGACGCACTTCAATACTTTATTTCCAAAATTTACATCTGTTGCAAGTAGTAAGCCTTGTTTATTGGGAGAATTTTTAAACTTTTATGGAGTAAAAGCAATGGAAAACATATAGAAAATAAAATACTGAACAACATTCGAAACTAACGCGATTACACAAAATCATATTAAATCTGTACTTGAGTTTTCAAGTCTATGCTCATGTTAAATGATAGAATATATTTTTGACTTGTAGTATTGAAACAGGGTAAATATAGCTTCATGACTTAGCCATAAGAACGTGTTTTTCTTGTCGATTTTATAGTTTTATTTCCTGTTCTTTAGAATATATTTGCAGAAACTACAGCATATTAACGTGGATTCGCTGAGAGTAGAGCTCATTGGGTAATTCGAAACCTGACCGAGTTTAGCGTTGATCCGAGTCTAAGGAAAGATTTTATACATTTAAGAATATTTTTCGAATTTACTTAGCTATTGAGTCTCGAGTAATGTTATTTATTTTTGTTTTTCTGGTTTATGAAATATAGCTTATCTGTTATGTTGTTTTATTAAACTAACAATATCGTCCGTCTTGAGCAATGAATTCATACTGTTTTAATTAGTATTTCGTCAATATGAATTAGTCAAAAACAAAAACAATCCTGTTACCAATGAAATCATATAAGATTGTTTGCATCTAGATTTTCATTCTTTCGTGAGAAGCTATTGATTACAAGTACAAGACAATTATACTTGATTATTATAGAATCATCATCTGAATGGTCTGAGACATGTGTAAGATGTACTAGTCACGAATACAAAAAAAAATTAAAAAAATGCTGCTCGTATTTTCGCGATGACTATCAGATTCGGATAAGAAAGTTCCATTGACAATATTAAGAGCAAGGTTCCACTAGTCGCATATTCGGGTCTAAAAAATTTTGGAGCTGGAGGACCTTAACTGGGAACTTTTCAAAAAGAAAAGTATTGTGTTATTTGAAGAGAAATTATAGTGTTTTTTTAAAGAGATCCGTTATCTACTAAAATTCAATATTGATACTGACGTATTCTTTTATTTTTAGACTTCTGCAAAACTGATCGTGTTTTCTTCGTGTTTTAATCAACTTCGATTGGATAAACTTCGGTCGCTGTCATTCTTCGAAACTGAGAACGAAGAAAGATTTCTTCTGAAATCACAACAACATTCTTTTCTTCACATACTTCTTTCGGCAATACTACAGCTTGTCAAGTTAACTATTAATTGGGATTATGTTATGAGCATCGATTCGACTTTTGGCAGTGGACACTTCACTCTTTCGCCTCTTTTC